CTGCAGTGCACAAGCTGCTGACCGAGTACCTGAAGCATTTCCACCTGACACCCATCATGAGCCGAGAGGAGGTGGAGCACTGGTTCTTACCTCAGGAGAACATCATCGACACCTTTGTGGTAGAGGTGAGGGAGCAGGAACAAGACGGGGGGGAGGTTCTGGGAGGACAGTGGGAGGTGGGAGCTGCTGCAGGGTGGTGCCTTTCCATCCTGGGCTGCCCCGAGCCTGCTCGCAGGGAGCTCTTGGTGGCACTGGCATGTGCACAATGACACTGGCAAAGCCCCTCAGAGGCTCTAAGCAGGCTTTAATGTGCCTCTGAGGGGCTGCGGTGTCACAGAGGTGTCACTTTTGGTTTTTAGAGCGCCCAAGGGGAGGTGACGGACTTCCTGAGCTTCTACACGCTGCCCTCCACCATCATGAACCACCCAACTCACAAGAGTCTGAAAGCTGCTTACTCCTTCTACAACGTTCACACCAAGACGCCTCTCATTGACCTCATGAGCGATGCTCTCATCCTCGCCAAGTCGGTGAGCGTGGTGGAGCAGCGTGGTGGGGCCGGGCAGGTTGGGAGCGGGGCCGTGGAGCACCAGGCAGCTCCCCACGAGCATTTCCTATCTCCTGGCTGCTCCTGGGTTTGTGGGGAGGGCTGGCAGTGGGGTAGGGCTTGTACATCCCCCCCAGGGCTGTGCAAAGCCAAATCCTGCAATGTCTGCAACCCAAACAGCCTGAGCCTGTGAGGTCAGGGCACACAGCTGGCACTGAGCTGAGCTCAGGGTGCCCACTCGGTTCTTAGAGCAAACAATATTGCCATGTTACCTACAGATACGTCCAGTATGTCTGATATCTACAGATATATGGCAATAGATACAGATATAACTTGGAACACCAGTGCCACGTTCATCCCCAGCACCCTCACTCCCTCCTTCTGGGGGCGCAGAGCTGGGCCAGAGAGGGGGCAGGCAGCACGCACGGAGGAGGAAGGCTGCCCAGCGTGTAAGCAGGTGGGGCTGATGGCCTTGTCTTGCCTCTGCAGAAAGGATTCGACGTCTTCAATGCACTGGATCTCATGGAAAACAAAACCTTCCTGGAGAAGCTGAAGTTTGGGATCGGGGACGGGAACCTGCAGTATTACCTGTACAATTGGAAGTGTCCCAGCATGGCACCAGAGAAGGTGAGAGCCTTGTGGGGTCCGGCAAGCATGCGGGACTGGGGTCTCATCCCCACGGAGCCCCCAGGGAGATGAACGGGCTGTCGGTGCTGGGCACTGCCTCTTCGCCTTGCAGGGATCCTTGGGATCCTGCCCGCGGGCTGCCACATCCTTGCCGTGCGAGCACAAGGGTTTGCCCTCACACACGCCTGCTCCCAGGCCAGCTGCTGTCTGCTGTAAAGCTGCGCTCAGTAACGTGAATCCCGTGACACCACGCGCTCCTCTCCACCGTCCCCAGTGTGTCTGCACCGGGGTGGCCCTGGGGAAGAGCACCCATCTCCCCAGGCCCATTTTACATTTGCACTGGTGCAGCACCAGAGTGGTTCAGGGTCCTTAACCCCACACACGCCTGCGCTGGTGACCTCTGTACAAGGAGGCAAGGTACAGAGAGGAAACAGGGAACTAAGGCTGTGACGGGGCAAAGGGCTGCAGGTTCAGAGCTGTAACACCAGGGGTTGCAGCAGCCACTTGTCCATAGCCTGCAGGTGGTTGCTGCACCCGTGAGGGCTGGGTGTCCTCCTGCAGCCTGTGTGTCAGTCTGTCTGCCATGGCACGGAGGGACACAATGAACAAGAGCCCCCTGGAGAGAACAGGTGCTCCCGAGGGCCGTCGGGTTGCACTGTGAGGGACCCCACGATGATGGGGGCTCTGCCAGCATGGTCACCCACAGCGTGGGTGCTGCACTGCCCCCACAGCCAGCAGCCTGCTCTCCACCTCGCCACTCTGAGCACTTGCAGGTCCTTGTAGCTGTGTCCGTAGACTTCAGTGGCTGCCCTGGGCCATTTTAGGTAGCATCTCCGCCCTGAAGGCGTTGTGGTTCAGCATCCGTCCCGTTCACAGCTGTGGAGAGGCTGGAGCTTGAAAGCCAGCAGCTGCAGCACTCGTGTCTGTGCTGCATCGCGACAGCTGGTGAATACTGCGGGCACTCTCTGGGAGAGTTGGTGAAGCCAGTTTCTGTCTATGCCATCCAGAAAGCAGGAGAGCCCTGCAGACAGGTAGCCAGAGGTGTGAGGTCCGACAGGTTGACTAATGCGTGGAATGAAGTATTTCTGTGGCCTTCTCCAGCTGAGGCATCTGGGTTGCTGTCCCAGCGGTTCTGAGTCACGCAGCACCCGCAGGTTACAAATCCACGCTCTTCAAAGCAGCTTTGCTCTGTCTCTGAGCCTTCTGAAGAGCTGCTCGGAGGTTGCTGGGAGGCTTAAGCAACTCCTCCCCTCGCCGAGAGCGCTGATGGGTTGGGAGCCTGGGTCTGAGCCCGTCCCTGCGCTGCAGGCACATCCCTGGGACAGCCACCAGCTCGTCCATCCTGCGGCGGCCAGGGAGCGCCCAGCGTGCCAGCTGCCTGCAGAGGGACCTGTCAGGAAGCAGCTTCTCCCAAATCTATTGTTATTAGCTTAGAGATAACCTTGACTAGCAAATCAAATCACCCCAGCTGCTGGAGCCCTGGAGCTCTGCGCTTTGTACAGCTCTCTGCTGCCCTCGCTCTCGCAGACCATCCGGGCTTGTGACGCAGGTGTGAGCTGCGGAGCTGGGGCAGACCCCAAGGCCTTGGTCACCTCCCCAGATCAGAGGGACTGTGTGCGCACTCAGCATGCTCGGCTAGCCAGCAGGGAGCTGCCCGGAGCTCTCGGTGGTCTCAAATCTCCTAGCGCCGGTAGCGAACAGAGCAGAGCCCCCCCAGCAGGCGTGGCGAGGGAGCTGTGTCCGACCGGAGCCGGGTGTGGGGCTGCAGCCACTCGTGCTCGGGCGCTTCCTGACCCGCGTCTCCTCCGTTGGCCCCACAGGTCGGACTGGTGTTGCAGTAAAAGAACCCGACGAGGAGAGCGCAGCGCCGCGGAGGAGCCTGGCCCAGCAGAGGGGCTGCCCTCGCTGCTTCTGCCAAAACCGGAGCCGCGTGCGGAGCGGTGGGAGCAAGCCAGCCACGCGGACACCGGCTGATTTTAACGACTGCATCACGCAGCGCCGGCCACGGCTCCCCCAGCGCCGGCAGTGGTCTCCTTTGTTTTGATTTAATTGCATCCTCGTAAAGACGTGGTCAAGGGAATGTAACTGCTGAAACTAGCTCATGATTGGCATATAATGGAGTTAACGGGTGAATAATAAAAGTATATATTATATATATTTTAAATCTTTCCTGTTCCAAACTGACACGAGCGCATTCATCTGCTGAAGGTCACCACCTGGTCGCTGGACCGTGACTTTTCTCGACGAGAAGCCGGGTTGATGGAGGTAGATGCTTGGCGTGCCGGGCTTTTCCCTGCGCAGAGCTGTGCGCGTCCTGCCCCAGCAGATGAGCGAGGTGGTTCCTCCTGAAGCGCTCCCACCGCTTCGGCACCGACACGGCGGAGCACTGGGCTGGTATCAGCGCGGTGCCGTGGCAGGGCTGCGGCGCTCTCCTGCGGCTCTGTCCCCGTGCTCGGCCGTCTCCATCCGCTCCCTCCTCTGTTTAACTCGGTCCTTGCCGGCCCAGCTCTGCCGCAAGTGCATGGAAAGGGAGGATGGTGCCGTCCCTCCCTGCAGTCCTGGGAGCACCTCGATATTTGTTTTTAAGGGCTATTTGTGCAAGCAATGCCTTGTCCCTTCTCCCCAACCTTGGAGACTCAAAACCTCTCTGCTCAATGGGGCAAGCGCTAAACGGAGAAGCAGCAACTCCCAAAGACCTGGGGGACCCGGATCCTTGCCACTCTCGGAGCATGTCCTGTGCACCCAGCTCTGCTCGAACTCTGGGGTGCTCCCCATCTGCCTCCCCAGGTGGCACCAGGGCCGCACGGTGCCTGCTGCATCTCCTCTGCCGCACCTCGAGGTGCCCCGCTCGGCTGCTGTGCTGTCCACGCTGGTTTTCTGAATCGCTGAAATGCAACGCGCATGCCACTGATTGCCCTGTGACGTGCCATCAGCCTTCCCTGGGGGGTCAGCCTCTCCAGCCACTCCAGTGCCTCTTCCACCAGGCTCATCATTGTGTGCTGCGGGAGCCTCAGAGGTGAAGGGAACGTTTTCGTCCACGGAAACCCTCTAGCCCGTAAGACATCTTTGAAAACCAACCCCTGAGAAGCTTTCTGCAAACCCCAGCCCTGCTGCGAAGCTCAGCGCTGCCTCTTCCAGGAAATGCTGCAGGCACTGGGACTCAGCGTGGGGAAGGAGCGGGGTAGGCTGCCTGTCCCCATGCTGCTGGTAGCCAGCGGTGGCTGCGCTGTCACCACAGCACGATGGTGCAGCCCTGTGGTTTGTCTCTGCTCCCCTGGTACTGTCAGCTCGCCTGTTTCCATCGCTCCGAGATGCTCTTGATCTCCATGCCAAAGGTTTCCAAAGCTGCACGCAAAGCCAACACCCATCTATGCACTCCCAGTGTCCTCGTCCCCCTGCGCGCTGTGGCTCTTGTGCCCCATGGCACGTCCCTGCCCCGTGGGCATCTGTTTGCTTACCCCAGCCTGGGCTGATTTGGCTTCAGTGGTGGACCTGGAGCCACCATGCCCCTGCCGCCAGCACTGCTGCAGCCCGGTGCCCAGGGTCCTGTCGCCTATGCAAGCACCTCTGAGTCCCCTCCTGCTCCCCACAGAGCTGGGGGCCACCCCACGGTGGTGACAGGGGACACCAACCATGAGGGCAGTGGAGCCAGGAGCCATGGGGCTTTTGGGGGCTGTGGGACCATGGGGCGAGCAAAACCTGGCTCCAACCAGCTCCCAGTGTGGGGGAGGACACCAGAAAAGGGGGCTCCCACCATCTCCTCCTGCTCCCCATGGCCACCAAAGCCACCCTTGCAGATGCCAGCAGGTGACAAGGACGCCGGGCAGGCTCTGTTAAAATAAACCTTTATTCGACTCGCTTGACAGCCGGGTCTTGATCTTTGCCCATCGCCAGTACTCGAGCACAGATCCGAACGCAGCCGGCCCTGCGTTCGTCGCTGAGCCAAGCGGAGGCTCAGTACCACGGCTGTGGTGGCAGTGGCAGGGTCCCCTTGGGGACCTCGTGGTGGCAGGCACCACCCCCGCAGCCCAAGGGGCCAGGATCAAGCGTGGCTGGGGCTGGTGATGTTTGCGGGGGGGTTGCTGTCACTCATCGTGCCCCCAGAGCCGTGCTGGGCTGGTGGTGGCCTGGCCACCCTGTCCTGGCTGTCACAGTGTCCCTGTCCCCGTGACGGGAAGAGCGGGGTGTGCAGATGGGGTGGCACCGTGGGACCCAGACAGGGTCCCCGAATCCCACAGGGACCCCAACCCGCCCTGCTGGCACCCTGCCCAGCTGGCACCCTGTCCCCCACACGAGCGAGCGGTGTCCCCAGCCCATCTCCGCGCCCTGTGCAGGGAACGGGGCATCCACAGCGCGGGCGGGTGCCCAGCCCCACACAGGGGCACCCCGACCCCACGTGCAGCACGGGCTGGGGACGCGGCGTCCCCCCTCACCGCAGCCACGGGGACCTCACAGGCGCTTGCATTTAACGTGCACGAAGAGCGTGGCGGGGGACAGGGACGCCCCGTCCTTGGAGAGCAGGTGGATGTGGCGATACCCTGGGGACAGAGCCGGGCTGAGCGGGGGGCGCGGGGCCGTTCCCCCCCCAAAGCCCAGCAGCGGGGCGCGGGCGCCCACCCACCTTCCCGCATGCTGGCCAGGGGCAGGGTGAACTGCCCCACAAAGTCGTTGCAGGAGGTGCTGTCGTGGTCCTCCACCACGAAGCGCACCAGCGCCAGCTCGGGCGCCTGCAGCTGGAAGCTCAGCGTCTCCTCCCAGCGCGGGTTGAAGCCTGCGGCACTGAGTCAGGGTGGGCACGGCCACCACGGCCACCGGCCACCCCGGGCACGGGACCGGCTCGTCACGCCGCCACCGCGCTCGCCCCAAAACTGGGTTTGGGTCTTTGGTGGCTTGGGTGTCACCCCAGGGTGGGGTGTGGGGGGAGTGAGGGAATGGGGGAGGCACTGGGGGTGGTATGCTGGGGTATACTGGAAGGAATGGGGTTCATACTGGGGTATACTGGAAGGAATGGGGTTCATGCTGGGATGTACTGGGTGGAATGGGATCACAATGGGAGCAGGCTGGCGCGTACTGGAGGGAATGATGGTGACACTGGGACTGGGCTGAGGTATACCAGGGGAATGGGAGGGACATTTGGGCCAGGCTGGGGTATACTGGGGGAGTGATGGTGACACTGGGAGCAGGCTGAGGTATACGGGGGGAACGGTGACAATGGGGATAGGCTGGGGTATACTGGCAGAAAGGGGGGCCATACTGGGAGCAGGCTGAGCTGTACTGGGTGGGATGGGGATGAAAAGGGAGACCAGCAAGGCAGTGCTGATGGAAACGGGAATGACACCGGGACCAGACTGGAGTACACTGGACAGGAGGAGGAAGCAGCACTGGGACGACTGGGATGCCCTGGGTACCAGCTCAGCCTGGGGCTCACAGAGGACCTCTGGGCCATGGGGTGCCTGGAGAACCCCCCCACCCCTGGGTGCCCCGGGGCCCGGCCGCGCTCACCGTTGTTGCTCCTGTAGCCGGTTTGCTGCTTGCTGCAGTCGGCCGGCACACCGTGGATCTCCACCCGCACGAAGGGGTCCACGATGGAGCTGCGCTTCTCCTGGTTCAGCTTGGGCAGCTGCTGGGCCGTGATGACCTGCGGGCCAGAGGGTGCAGGGGGCTGGCGGCACGGCGGGGCACAGTGGCCTCGGGGGAAGGGACAAGGGTGGCACAGTGGCTGGGAGTGGGCACAGGGCTGGTGTCCCCCAGGAGATGGGCAGCACCTGGGTGGGCATTGGGATGGGGGCAGTGCCACGCAGGGGCAGGGATGTGGGTGGTTCTCAGAGAGATCCAAGGACAGCACCAGTGTCCCCAGGTGGCACCTGGCCGGGCATGGGGTTGGTGTCACCCAGCGGGGCTGCAGGTGGCACCCACGCTGGCAGGAGGGGGGGGACGCTCACCCTGATGTGCAGCACGAGGCAGCGGGGGCCCTCGACGTGGGGGCTGCGCAGGAAGGGGGGCTTCAGCACGTAGCCACAGCACCCATTGCCCAGGAAGCGCCCGGCGTTCAGGTCCATCTCGTAGCCCGGCGTCTGGAAGTTGAGGGCCACTGCGGGGACAGGGACGAGGACGGGGACAGGGGCATCACGCTGGGTGCTGGGCCCATGGGGTGCCGGTTTGGGGGTGCCCAGGGGCTCTGGGGGCTCACCCAGCTGGCAGCCGGCGTTCCACATCTCCTGGGGGTTGTAGTTGGAGGAGTTCATCTTCAGCCCCAGCGGGTAGACGCGGCTGAGCTGCCGGGCGTTGTAGCGCACGAACGCCGGGCCTGGAGGGTGCCAGCTGAGCAGGGCAGGGGCCGCAGCACCCATGGGTGCCACGCGTCCTGCCCACACCCTGTGCCAGGGGACGCTCGCAGACCCTGCCCAGCCAGCTGGGAGCAGACCTCAAATCTTGGCCTGGACCCCAAAACCTGACCCCAACCTCAGACCTTGAACACGGATCCTGACCCTGGACCTTGGCTGCAGACCCCAGGCCCTGAGCCTGAGCCCAAAGCCCAGGCCCTGGCCCCAGATACTCCCCCAGATGTCACATCCCAAGCCCTGAGCTTCAAACCAGAGCCCCCAGTCCCACCAGTCCTGAGCTGGCTGTGGCCGGTGTGTCCCCAACCCAAGGAGCCACCTCAATGGCAGGGACCCAGAGCAGCCCCACCGGGTCCAGCCCTGACCCATGTCCTGGTGTGGCTCTGTCCATGTCCCTGTCCCCGTCCCGCTGCCCTCACCCGCCTCCTTGATGAGCCTCCGGGCCTTCCTCTCGCTGAAGGAGGACATCTCGCAGGGCCGGGGGTGTTGCAGGGCCTGGGCCAGGCCGGGGAAGGGCACGGCCTGGCAGTACACCACCACCGCCGACAGCTCTGGGGCCACCTGCGACGCGTCCTTGGCCTGCAGGAGCCACCGTGGCATCAGGACCAGCAGCAGCCCCACCTGCCTGAGGGTTCTCACAGCCCCCACACCGCTGGCACTGAGACCAACGGGGCTACGGAGGCTACCACAGTGATGGAGAACCTGAGGCATCGGAGACCTCCAAGGTGATGGAGACCCCAAAGCGAGGGACAAGCCAATATATCAGAGACCCCAAGGAGATGGAGAACGTGAGGTGATGGACAGCCCAAAGCAACGGGGAACTTGAGGTGATGCAGACCTCAAGGTGGTGGAGACCACGAGGTGATGGAAAACCAAGGGATGGAGAAACCTCCCCCAGATACTGCGAGGTGATGGACGCCCCAAGGGGATGGAGACCCAAGGCCGTGGTGTTCCCAAGAACATCCCAGAAATTGAGCACCAGATCCCACAGGGCAAGAGAGGCACCACCGGGGGCTCCCCAAGCAGGGCAGTGACAGCCGCTCGCCCCCCAGTGGCCCCCCCCCGCCTCCAGCACCTGACCCACCTGCAGCGGTTGGATCTCCTGCAGCGACTGGAAGAGGAGAGAGTGAGGCTGTGCTGGGGACACCGCAGTGCTCGCCTGCCCCGCACAGCCCCAGGACAGCCCCTTACCCGCTGGCTGCTTCTCTCCTGCAGCCTCTCCTCCTCCTCCTCTTCTTCCTCCACTTCCTCCTCCTCTTCTTTCTTCTCCTCCTCTTCCTCCTCTTCCTCAGGGTCAGGGGGCGGCGGTGACACCCCGGGGCTCACCCCACGGCTCCGGCAGCTTCTTGCCCTTCACCAGGACCTTCCCCTTCAGCTGCTGCAGGACAAAGGGCCTGAGCTCAGGGCGGGCTGGGGACACGGGGACGCGGTGGCAGGCGGGGTGGCCTCACCTCCGGGGACGGGAGGTTGTCGGGGTCCTGCCCGTCCAGCGGCTGCGTCAGCAGCATGTCCCCGAGGATGGCCTTCATGTGCCGCGCCATGGTGGCCTGCTGCTCCAGCCCGCAGTGGTTCTCCAGGGAGAGGATGACGGGGTAGGGCGATCGCTGGGGACGGGAACGGGGACGGGGACTGGGGACGGGAACGGGGATGGGGATGGGGATGGGGACGGGGACAGGCAGCGCTGAGCACCTGGCACCCAGCACCCACCCGGGGCTGCCAGCGCCGGCCTCACCTTGAAGGCGTAATCGCGGATGCTCTCGATGACATCGCGGAAGAGGATTTTGGAGGTGAGCGTGTGGCCGTGGTAGATGACGGGCTCCCCGTCGGCACCTTCCCAGCAGTCCAGCTCCACGCAGCGGCAGCCCGTCATCAGCGCCCTGCCACCGCGCCGCCACCGCCGGGTGAGTTCCCGCGCCACCCGCAGCGACCCCGCCGTGCCCACGGGCACCTCGCGGCACCCACCTGACGTAGGCTTCGGTGCTGCTGGTGCCGCCGATCTGGTTGTGGGTCAGGTAGGTGTTGTGGGAGGAGGAGATGAAGTAGTGGCACAGGGGCTGGCTCATGTCCTGGTGCACCTTGGTGTGCTCCTGGTTGAGGATGTCACCGGCGGCCGAGAGCAGGTACATCATGAAGCCATCCAGCATCATCAGGTCCTGCTGCCTGGCTGAGGGACGCAGCGGAGGGGTGTCAGGGCTGGCATGCAGCCGGCAGGGTGGCCCCGCATGGATTGTCCCCACGTGGGTGTCCCCTGTCTCCTGGCAGTGCCATGTTCACCCCAGGCCCGGCGCTGTGGCACCCAGGGAACATGCGAGTCCCCTTGGGTGTCCCATGCCCACCCTGATGTCCTCCATCCGCCTCTGCCTCGACCACCCTGGACCTGGCGTGGTGGCACCCACAAGATCTGGAAGTTCCCTGTCCCCACCCCAACGTCCCCCATTTTGACAGCACCCCCAGGCCTCGTACTGCAGTACCCAGAGGACACAAATGTCCCCTTGGTGTCCCATCGCTGTCCCCTTGGTGTCCCATCGCTGCCCGATAGCCCCAGGCAGTGCCACATCCACCCTGGGGCTGGCATCTCGGCTCCCGTGGGAAATGGAGGTTTTGTCTCCACCCAGATGTCCCCTGTCCTGATAGCACCATGCCCACCTGGCGTCATACACCCAGGGGATGTGGAGGTCCCCTTGATGTCCCACCTCCACTCAGATGTCCCACGTCCTGCTGGTGACATGGAGACAACTGTCCCCGCCCTGCTGTCCCCTGTCCCTGGGCTGTGCCACATTCTCCGTGGGACCGGCACTACGGCACCCTAAGGACGTGGAGGTCCCTTTGGTGTCCACCTCCACCCTCATGTCCCCTGTGTTGGCGCACTGCCACCCAGTGCCACCACAAGGGAAGGACCAGAGGGACACAGAGCCACGCACCCCAGCCCTGGAGAGCCTCGTGCTCACCTGGGGGACACCACCACGTCCCCCCCATGAGCTGCCACCCCTTTTGCTCCACACCCAGCCCACCCGCCAAGCTTGCCATCCTCATCGTGGGACATCCCCGTCCCTACCCTTCTCGTTGAGCTCGTGGGCGTGGATGATGGCGCGGGCCTGGCGCAGGGTGGCCTCCTCGCCCTGGTCACGCAGGAACTCGCGCAGCTCCTCGGCCGACAGCACGCAGTCCTCGCCCGAGTAGTGCCCGAAAAGCTCCTCCAGCTCCGGCCGCCGCAGCAGCCGCCGGCAGAACTCCTCCAGCTCCCGGCCCTCCAGCCGCTCGTCACCCGAGCGGTCACACTCCTGATGGGACCACGGCCCGGCCTCAGGGACCGTCCCCTCGGCCAGGCCCACCCAGGCTGGGAGTCTGTGTGATGAGTTTGGGGGTCTCAGCTACCTGCTGGGGGGCTTAGGGATGCATAGGGGGTGTCCGCTCTGTGTCCCCCCCCCAGCCCTCTGTCACCTGGAGCACGCAGGTCACATCCCTGCTGTGTCCCCACAGTCCCTATGCCCCCCAAGCTCAGGATGGAGCCAAGCAGAGCGCCGTGCCTCAGTTTCCCTAGGGGTAAAGGGCCCTGGGGAGGTGCTGCTGTCCCCAGAGAGACACCCTGGGGAGGTGTCACACCCTAGGGACCAATGGAGCCACATGGGGACAGCGTGGGGACAGCTCCCATCACGACAGGACCTGGACATTGGCAGCGCTCAGGGTGCAATGAGTTTGACAGTCCTCTGCGTTGGGCAGGGAAGGAGCCAGCGTGCCCTCAGCCAGGTGACAGCGGGTGACAGGGCGCAGGGCGGGTACCTTGAAGAGCTTGTAGGCGTAGATGTCGTTCATGTCGATGTTGATCATCCGCAGCATGCTCTTCACCTCCTGGAAGCACATCTTGTTGTCCTTGTTCTTGTCGGCTCGCTGCAGGATGCCGTGGATCCAGCTGCGTGGCGCTAAGGAAAGCGCCCCAGGCTGTCCCCAGGCTGTCCCAGGGCTGTCCCCGGGCTGTCCCCGAGCTGTCCCCACGCCACGCCCCGCTGTCCCACAAAGGATACTGGTCGAGCTTCTCCCGCTGGTTCATGGCCTGCAGCCGCGCCATCAGCTTGGTGAGCCCCTGCACCCAGTGCTGGGCGTCCTCCTCGCCCCGCGCCGCCAGGTCGAGGTTCTTGCGCTTGCCCTTGAAGACGATGGTGAAGCAGTGCCGCTCGGGGAAGGAGCCGCCGTACTTGCGCAGCCCCTCCGACTGGTGGCCCTGGCGCACGCCCTCGATGTGCATCACGGAGACTGCGGGGACACGCGCCCTGACGGTCCCCACCCCGTGCGGAGGCGGCCACCGGTCCCCAGCCGAGCCGATGGCTCAGCACGGCCATGGGATCGCCCCCACCCACCAGTGCCCCAGCACCCCGCTGGCGGCCACCCCCGGTGTCCCCATGGCAGTGCCGGGTGTCCCCTCCTGCTCCCCAGGGTGCCGCGGGCAGGGACCGGGCACTCTCGGTGCAGCTGACGCTGCAGCAGAGCTGAAGCCACTAAGCCCAGGCGAGACGGGGCCCAGCGGGTCCAGGCCACTGTCCCCTGCGGGGATGGGGGTGGTGACGCCGGGGGGGGGATGGCGCCGTCTCGCAGCAGTGCCAGCACTGGGCAGACGTCCCAGTGAGCGTGGAGAGAGCTGGGTGACGCCAGGGAGTGGGGACAAAGCCCGGCCGGGATGGAGCCGGGTCCCTGCGCCAGTCCCGAGGGGGAGAGCAAAGGGAGTGGGCTCTGGGGGCTCAGCTGGGGGGCACTGGGAGGCACTGGGAGGCTCTGGGGGCAGTGGAAGGCAATGGGTGAAGTGGAAGAAACTGGGTGCACTGCGATGTGATGGGATGCACTGCAAGGCAATGGGATACACTGGCTGCACTGGGACACACTGGAATGCATTGCGATGCACTGGAAGGTACTGGGATGCACTGGGTGGAATGGGATGTACTGGGAGGCACTGGGAGACACTGGTCCATGGCTGGGGGCAGAGCAAGCTCAAGGAGGGGGGGGCTGTGGCTGAGTTGGGGTCCAGATCCCGGCTCCCACCCGCACCCACGTGTGCTGGGGCTCTGCCCCCCTCCCCGCCGCTCCCCGCAATTCGAGGCCGGCAGGACCCAGCCCGGGGTCCCCAGCCCCTGGGGACGCCCCCCCCCAGTGCCAGCACCTACAGATCTGCTTGGAGGGGGCGCGCCTGAAGCGCCGCTCGAACCAGACGGTCATGCCGTCCTCCTGCAGGCGGTACAGCCGCTCCTTCGCCCGCCGCGCCTTCACCTTGCGCAGCAGCGAGCCCCGCAGCATCAGCTGGATGTCCTCGTCCTCCGTCAGCCCTGCGAGGGGACCGGCCCCGTGGGTGCACCGGGGTGGGGGCACCGGGCGCACCGGGTGGGAATGGGGGTGGCTCTGTGCGCGTCTGAGTGCGGGTACGTGCACGGTGCAGGGCACATGAGGGGATGGGGTGGGATGGGGTGGGATGGGGTGGGTGGGATGGGATGGGGTGGGTGGGATGGGATGGGATGGGATGGGATGGGATGGGTGGGATGGGATGGGATGGGATGGGATGGGATGGGGTGGGATGGGGTGGGATGGGTGGGATGGGATGGGATGGGATGGAGTGGGGTGGGGTGGGGTGGGGTGGGGTGGGGTGGGGTGGGGTGGGGTGGGGTGGGGTGGGGTGGGGTGGGATGGGATGGGATGGGGTGGGATGGGGTGGGACGGGATGGGGTGGCACAGGACATGACACAACAAGATGGAAAGGCCAGGACAACGGTTTGGGATGGAATGGGACATACGTGACAGGACGTGACAATACAGATAGGACACGACAGGAGAAGATGGGACAGGTTGGATGGGATAGAAAAGGGTGGATGGAACATATATGGCAGGATGGGACGGGACGGGACTGGTCAGGATGGGACAGGATGGGACGGGATGGGACAGGACAAGCCACTGCCATCAGCCCCATTTGGGCACCGCAGGGCCGGGCCAGGGCACGGCAGCAGTCACGGAGCCCAGCCCTCGGGCCAGGGCTGCTGGATCCCAGCAAAGCCGCCCAAATCCGGTGTGGGATTTGGCTGGCAGCAAGCGGCCCCTCACCCGTCCCCCACAGCCCCAACCGCGCCCCCGGGGCTGGCGGGGACCACGTGGCGGTGACGGTCCCTGCCCGGACGGGGCTGTGACCAGGCTGGGCACAATGACGGGGTGGCCTCGGGGGACCTGCACACCCGCAGCCTCACCACCAGGACTTTTCCGTCCATTCTCCATGAAAGTTATTTCCTCCTCCTTTTTTTTTTTTTTTTCAGTTGTTTTGTTGGTTTTTTTTTTGCAACCATTCTTGGAGAACGGCCCCAGTGACTGTGCCCCCGCGCCCTTCAGGAATGCTCCTCCTGGGGTGGGAAACGGCAGTTTCGGGTCCCTGAGCTGGCCACAGACCTCTGGGACACGGCCACCATCACTGCCACCACCTCCTGTGACACCTCCTGGGGGATCTGTCCCTGTCCCTGTCCCCATCGGGCCACGTCCTCGCCTGGCACCGGCCGCCCGCACGTGAGCCACAGCCGGGGGCCAGGAGCTGACCACGCCGTGGGGGGACGGGTGGGTGCCGGGACGTGGGGACGGGTCGGGGTAGGGCTGTAGGGCTGCCGGGACGCCCGCACGTCCAGGTGCAGCCCTGCGAGGACACACGGACGGACGGACGGACAGACGGACGGATGGACGGACGGACGGGTGCACTGATGCGGGGACACCCGGACAGCCGGGCACCAGGACACACGGACACGCGCCCGGAGCCACTGGAGCCAAGCTCCTGCCCCGACACCCGCAACAAAACCCAAACCAGGACCACCCCCCCCATGTGGGGCCATACACAGCCCCCCACCGCCACCCGGCCACCCCGAGCCCCTTGTCCCCCTGCGCCCCACGGGACAGGCACTGGTCACCCAGAGGGGGTGGCACGGGGGTGACGAGGGCTCTGTCCCCTTCTGCTTGCAGTGGGGACCCCCCCCGGCAATAGGGACCCCCCTCCAGCCATGGGGACACCCCTGGCAATGGGGAGCCTCCGACCGCGGGGACCCCAAAATCACGGTGACCCCCCCACCGCGGGGACCTCGCCCACCTTTGGGGACACCGCCCGACCGGGGACCCTCGCTGCCACGGGGGGGTAGGGGGGATAACGGGACCCTCCCCCGGTGCCCCCCCCCGGCCCTCACCCATCTTCCTGAAGGCTCTGCCGGCTCGCCGGGGGCCACCGGCCCCGTCCGGGGGGGGCCGGGGCTGCTCGGGGCCGGGACGCGCCCTCCGCCCGCAGATCATGGCGAGGGCCCGGTGCTGCCGGTGTCCGCCGGGCCCCCGGGGCTCCCCCCCCCCGGGCTGGGCGGAGGCGGCGGGGAGGGGACGGGAGGGGAGGGGCGGCCCCGCCGGGACCGGGGCCCGGAGCGGGGAAGGGCCGGGAGGGGCCCGGGAGGCGTAACCCGGCCGGGAGGGGGGGGGCAGCGGGGGGGCGCCGGGGGGTCGGTACCGGGGGGGGGGTCGGTACCGGAGGGGTCGGTACCGGAGGGATTGCAACGGGGGGGGGGGTCGGTACCGGGGGGTTCGCCACCGGGGGGGGAGCACCGGGGGCTTAGGTACCGGGGGGCTCGGTACCGAAGGGTTCGGCAACGGGGGGGTTGCACCGGGGGGGGGAACAGGGGATTCAGGACCGGGGGGATCGGTACCGGGGGGGTCGGTACTGGGTGGGTCGGTACCGGAGGGATTTCACTGGGGGGGTCGGCACCGGGGGGGGGGGCACCGAGGGCTTGGGTACCGAACGGGGGGCACCTGGGGGCTCGGTACCAAAGGGGTTCGGCACCGGGGGGATTGCACCGGGGGGAGCAACAGGGGGGTCGGCACTGGGGGGGGCACCGGGGCTTCGGTACCGGAGGGTTCGGCACTGGAGGGGGTCGGTACCGGAGGGGATGCACCGGGGGGGTCGTTACTGGGGGGTCAGCACCGGTGGGGGGTCGGTACCGGGAGGTTCGTTACGGGAGGGGGGCGGCACCGGGGGGATTGCACCGGGAGGGTGGGGTCGGTACCGGAGGATTCTGCATTGGGAGGGTCGGTGTCGACGAGGGCCGGTACCGGGGGGGGGCACCGGAGGGGGGCGGTACCGAAGGGATTGCACCGAGGGGGGGCGGTACCGGCGGGGATCCGTACGGGGGGGAGGGGGGGGCAGTACCGGGGGGATTGCACCTGGGGGGTTCAGCACCGGAGTGGGGTGGCACCAGAGGGGGTCGGTACCGGGGGGTTCGGCACCGGGGGGGAGCAGCACCGGGGGGGTTGAACCCAGGGCCCTACACCAGGGCCCCCCATCACAGGACCCCGCTCTGCCCGGGGACGTGGCTGCCGGTGCCGGAGCTGGTGCCCAGCACCAGGAGGGACCCGTGGGCCACCCCTGTGCCACCACACCTGGGGACAGTGCCAGCGCCTCGTCCCAGCTCCGGTGGCACCCGGTGTGCTCGGGCTGGGTGACGCTGTGCTGGCCTAGCGGGGTGGTGGCAGCCTGGTGGCACACGGGGACACGGCCACGTCGGTGGTGCGGGACGTGGTGGCCTCGCCTGGGGTCACGCCGCAGCTGGGGTCTGGAGCCTGGCCCCCAGCCCCATCCCAGGCTCCCCGGCCCCGGCCCCTCCACCCGAACCAGGCGTTGATTTCAAGCCCTGTGCTGGTGGCAAGGGCTGCCCCCACCTGGCTGGCACCAACTCTTGCCAAAACCAGCCAGCACCGGGGGACAAGAGGCTGCCCCAGGCCGGGACGTGGGGACCAGGAGCTGCAGCACAAAGCAAGGAACTGGGAACCCCAGCATGGGGCGGGGGGTTCCTCATGGGTCAGGGAGGGCGTGACCATGGCCACATGTGGGACCGGAGGGCACCCTGCGACATCTGGGCACTATGGGCAATCTCTGAGCACTCTGGGGGGACATCTGTAAATCCAGGGCAACATCTGGGCATCCCTGGAGCAACCTCTGGTTGTCCTGGAGCAACATCTGGGCACCCTGGGTGACCTCTGGGCACCCTGGGGCAGCATCTGCACACCCAGGGCAACACCTGGGCACCACAGAATGACATCGGGGCATCCCTGGGGCCACCTCTGGTTATCCCGGAGCAACACCTGTACGTCAAGGGAGACCCTCGGGCTTCTGGAGCAACACTCGGGTGTCCTGGATGGTCTGTGAGCATCCCGGAACAATGTCTGAGGATCCAGGGCAACCCCTGGGCAGCGTGAGGTGGTGTCTGGGCACCACGGAGCAATAATTGGGTGAGCTGGGGGCACATGAAGGCAGCTGGGGGGAACATCTGGGCAGCCCCTCGGGCGTGTTTTTGGGGTGCTGAGGCCTTTGGGGACATGGGGACTTGGGGAATTTTAAACAGGGGCAGCAGAGCCCAGGGCAGTGCCCCCTTGTGCTTGGCCCGTGACTTTTACCCGTTCAGGAGCCGCAGAAGGCATTTGGTGTATTTATGCAGAAATGAAGGCATTTGGTGTTATTTATGCAAAAATGAAGGCATTTGGTGTATTGATGCAAAACGCCTCTTTCTCTGCTGGAAAACTTCGGAAAGCAGCTGCATCCACCCCGAAATGCACTTGCAACCGGATAGCCGGGCTCTGCCCTGGCCCCGCTCCAAGCCCTCGGCCCCCGAGGGGAATTGCACGGGCAGGAATTCAGCTGCCGACACCACACCGAGCGAGTTTTGGAAGATCCTGGGGGAGAAGCGAACCGTGAAACGGTGCCGTGAGCGCGGCGGCAGCCACCAGCCCCCGGGGGTAGGACACGTCCCGTCCCCCCCCCCCCCCCCTCCCTGTCCTGCACCAGCCCTGGGCCGCGCCAGGGAATCAAAACACGTTGCATAACCACAACCCAGCAAAAAAAAAAAAAAAAAAACACATCACCACCACCAATATTATTAATAGCAGGATTACGAGCGGGGAAAGAATGGCTTATTGCATAAAATAAACACGGCCGAGGCTGGGGGGGGGGGGTATGGCTCGGAAATCCCTCACAGCCCGCAGCGGGAGCGGATCCCACTGCAGGCTCTGGGGGAGCAGATCCCACCCCAGGCCCTGAGGGCTCAGATCCCACCCCGGGCCCCGAGGGAGCAGATCCCACCCCGGCCCTCTCAGCGTTGCCATTTTCTGCCCTGATGCAGAGGCAGCCGCTGGGCAGCGTTCCCGGCCCCGTCGGGCACAGCTCGCGTCCCGTGAGCCAGGCCCAGGCCATGGCTGCAGCCGGGGCTGGTTGTGCAGTCAGAGCCCAGCCGCCATCCCGGGGGGGGGCAGGAACCTGCCGTGGGAGCTCCGAAGTGGCAGCAGGATGGGACCCCCCCCCCCTCGCTGCCTCGTTTTGCTGGGCCTTCGACTTTGGCACCAAGCACGGGCCATGTGGCCGTGGCCTGGCCCCCTCCCCACACCCAGCCCTGGCCGAGGGCTGGGCCCAGGCACCCCCAGGTGGCCGCAGGGCTGCCCATGGTGGCCCCCCCCCGGCCGTGCCCCCCCCCCCGGGCCGTTCTGTCACCGTAACGCCCCCGGCCCCGGGGCACCGCGTGCCCCCCGCTGCCACCCCCGTGTCCCCCCGCGGCACACCCCTGCCCTGCGCCCTCCCCGCGGGGGCCCAGTCCCGCCCCCTCCTCCCCACGGCCGCTATCCCAGTTTGGTTTTTATATTGACCTAAATTGGATTTTTATAATTAACCAAAAAAATGACCAAAAATAACCAGTCCCCCCCCCCAGGCCCAGCTGCCCCGTGCCCTGCGGTGAGTCCCCTGCCCCCCACCCAGCACTGAGCCCCCCCCATGACGCCCGCCCTGCCCAGTGCCCCCAGTGCCCCCAGCGCGTCTCCCAGTGCTCCCAGTGCCCCCCCCCCGTGCACTGCCCCTTTAAATCCCCCCCCCATCCCCGGGCTCTGTCCCTTTAAATCCCCCCCCCCCGCCCCGGGCCCCCGCCCCCTGCCCGCCGCCCTGCAGCCCCGCCCTCGGCCAGCAGGGGGCGCCGCTTCCCCGGCCGAGCCGCGCTCCCATTGGCTCCACCGCGCCGCTCACCGAGCGGGGCGGGAGGGGAGGGCGCAGCGCGGCCCGTTTCGGAAGCGGCGCGCTGATTGGGCGCGGCGCCGAGGTAATGATGAAAGGCGAGCGCTGATTGGCTCCCGCGCTCTCCCCTCACGGAGAGGCGCTCGGCGGGGCCGGGACCGGGACCGGGCCGGAGCCCGGGGCGGCGGCGGCGGCGGGGCCATGGCGGAGCCGGGCTGCGGGGCCCAGTTCCGGGCCGCCGTGCGCGTCATCCAGGGGCTGCCCCGCAGCGGTGAGTGCGGCCGGGCCCGAAGCGGCCCCGGGGGGTGAGGGGGGGCTCGGTCGTTCCCGGGCCCGGTGGCGGCGGCCGCGGCCGCGCTGAGGCGTTTGCGGTGCCGCAGGCTCGTACCGGCCGTCCTACGAGGAGATGCTGCGCTTCTACAGCTACTACAAGCAGGCGACGGCGGGGCGCTGCCAGGGCCCCCGGCCCGGCTTCTGGGACCCCATCGGCCGGTACAAGTGGTAAGCGGGGGTGGGGGGGTCGGGGCCGCTCCGGGGCCGGTTCGGGCCCGGCCCGGCCCCGCCTGACGGCGCCGCTCCCCGCAGGGACGCCTGGCACAGCCTGGGGAGGATGACCAAGGAGGAGGCGATGGCCGCGTACGTGGCCGAGATGAAGAAGGTGGCCCAGAAGGTAGCGGGGAGCGGGACGGGCCCGGCCCGGTGCCTCCCGCCGGGCCCCGCCGCAGCTGTGGCCGTCCCCAGGTCATCGACACCGTGCCCATGGACGAGGCGACGCGGGAGATGTTCAAGTACTTCGAGCCGCTCTACGAGGTGATCCGCGACATGCCGCGGCCCCCCGAGGACTTCTTCAAAGGGGAAGGGGGTGAGTGGGAGCCCCGCTGCCCCCCCGCTGCCCCGCATGCCCCTCGCTCCTCACGCCTGCCCCCCTGCTGCTGCTGTCCTGGCACGGCCGTCGCCTCGAGGCTCTGCTCCCCAAGAGGGGACACGGGGGACACACCACGTCCCGCCTGGCTCCCCAGCTTCCCGAGGAGGTGCTGCTGAGGTGCTTGTCTGAGCACCGCTCTCCAGCAGGTGCCTTCTCAGCGTGGGCTTCTCTTGCCCTAAAGTTCTGGGGAGAAAACTTGAGCTTTGGCTTCCGAACAACCCAAGGCCATATGCAGCCAAAGGTAGAGCCGGGGGCTTGGTGCAGGTTCAGCATCCCGGCCACGGGGCTCTCCTTTCTCCTGGTCAGCCTGGGCACGGGCACGCCTCCAGGCAGGGCGGGCTGCCAACCAGAGCCAGGGTCATCCGATAGAAACAGGTGCCTGTTTTTGCAGCAGAGTGGAGATGGAGAAACAGGGGTTGGGAAAGGGGATTAGTGGGATCTGGAGATGCTGGAACAGCCTTGTGCTATAAAAAGTCCTCTTCCAGCCCTTTCCACATGTGTCTGGTGGCTGCTGTCTCACGCTGAGGGGTTGCTGGGGACCCTTCTCACCCCTGGAGCAGGGTGGTTCCTGTGAGAAGGGTTTGAGCGAGTGAGGGGCAGGGTTTGGCTGTCCGAGAGCCAGCCGTGCTGTTTCGGAGGGGAGGCTGCCACAGAAAGGCTGTGCATCCGGACGTGTGCCTGTGCCTAATTTCCAGTAGACTAGCTCGGCAGCAGGTGAGCTTTGGGGTATATTTGCAGCAGGTTTAAACTGTCAGTGCTTCCCTAATGTCAGAGGCGCTCTGGCAAACAGCCTCGCTCTCTGCCTGTCCCCAGGCATCTGTCCCCACTCTGACAGCCACTGTCACCCCCTGTGTCTGCAGAGCTGCCCAAACACGTCGCCTGGACGGCACCCTCCTGTACGGCTTGGCCTTACAGGGGCTGCTCCTTCCTGTGGTGCCCAGATGCTTTTGTTCTCTATGTTGACATCAAATCTAGTTCCTTTAAAATGCAAACAGACTTTATTTTTCTCTGGTCAATAGAAGCTGGGGCTAACCTCCTAGTCATTTCTCACTGAGTGTGTCCCCCTGCATAGTGACACGTAGAAATGGCAGCCTCATTTGTGCCTAAACCCGGCACTGTCTGCAGAGCAAAGGAACCCCAGGTGCCTGAAACATGGTTTAAAAGTCTGAGCTTCTTAAGCTGTTGAGTCATTTGTGTTAAAGGCTCTTAAACCTGCCTTGAGATGTGCTGCCGCAACTTCTGCTGGTGATGATGCAGGTGAGGAAGGTGGGTGGGCGCTGGTAGCAGTGCCCGAGGTACGGTCAGAACGTGGCAGGTGCCGGCTCGCAGAGAGCTGCGTGGTTTCCCTCGCTTTGCAGGCCAGAGGCGGTGCGTGCGGTGGCCGAGCCACACTCGTTCTTGTTTATTTACAGCCGGCGCACCATAAACCACGACTTGGAACCCAGTTGTGAATGGCGCAGGGTCGCAGCAGGTCTCGAGCCGACAAAGCTTTCCCAAGCATCTTTGCACACACAGGCCGAGACTGAAGCAACCCCGGACCCACAGTTAAGCACCTCCATCCTGCCGCCCAGGCGGTGCTGCTCCCCCGGCCCCGCAGGCACACGGGGGCTGGTGGTGGAGCTCAGCTCCTCGGGGCGGAGGTGACGGGACCCTGCCCGGCGGGGCAGGCACAGGGCTTGCTGTGAGCAGAGGCCTGGGGTGCTGGTCTCGGGGCAGCCTCCACACTCACTCCTGCGCTGTGTGGTCCCATCCCATAACTGGGAGCCTGGCGTGACGGCGGGCTGGGGACGGCAGCCCCGCAGAGGTGCACGGGCAAGGCACCAGCAGGGCGGCGTTGCCACATCCCCGCATGGCCAGGAGCAGGGAGCAAAGTCCCAGCTGCCGAAGGGCTGCGTGGCTGGCTTAACCCCGTGGGCCCAACCGGGCACCCGAAGAGACGGCGGGAGCTGGTTTATAAACACAGACACGTTCTGGCTGCTGCCTGCCCCTGGGTGAAGCCTCTCCTCCGCTCCTGTTAGCCATCGAGCTCGCTGCTGCACACATCCTTGCTGCCCCAGGCTCCCAAATCCACATGTCCCCCACTCTGCCCAGCAGTGAAACAGCTGTGAGGAGCCCAGCGCAGAGCCGGGCAGGGTGGGCTGCACCACAGGGATGTGAGCAGCGCCTTCACTCTGCTCTCCCTCTCTCTGTCTCTGTGCAGATGGGCAGGAGCAGGCGGCCGACCCCAGCCAGGACGAGCAAGCGAGCGGCCCGGCCGCGGAGCAGCGGGAGGACGTGCTGCCCGAGGAGCTGCAGGACGGGCAGCAAGCGCCAGGTTGGTCTCCCCGGCGTGGCCAGCACCCGGCAGAGACCCCGCGGAGGAGGCACCGGCGACAGAGCCGGGCTGGGCTTCCATCTCTCCGCAGAGCTGTTGGCTTCAGGCACGTGTGGTCCGACCCTGCCTGTGTTTCGGGCACCGCCCCGGTCACGCAGAGCCGGAGCTTCTCGTGGGGGCAGCTCTCGGTGCTGGGATGACCCTGAGCGCGTTGGGTGCCTTCGTGTTGCTCGTGTCTGGGCAAAGGGGCCTGATTCTGCTGGCCTGCCGCAGAGGGCTGAGGGCTGGGAGTGTGACGTGCTCCTGTGGACGGGGAAAATGCCCTGAGAGGTCTGTGCTCTGGGAGGGGAAGTTCTCCCTCGGCCCGAGCCAAGTTTGCCCAGCCGGTGGGGCTCTGTGGGGCTGTCAGTGCCCTGGTGGTGGATTTGCACGGCCCCAGCACACCCACCCGCTGCCGGCGCTGTGCTGGGGACAGCAAACTCCCTGTGCCCCCTCCCTGTGGCGGCACACGCAGCTCTCCCCGCCCGGAGGGGCCCCTGCTTCGGCCTCGTGCTGCAGGGAGGAGTCCTGCCCGGCCCTCCCTCGAGGAGCGAATATGGTCACGGAGCGAGTGTGGGCTGGGACTGAGCGCAGCCGGGAGCTGGCACCCGCTGGTGGCACCCGCGGGACGTACGGGGTGCGCTGCGCTGTCCCTCAGCAGTGCTGGACTTGGGGTGGGAGGGGGGGAAGATTGATTCCCTGGGGCCTTGGATGCTGCAGTGCCCCGTGCCAGGGGTTGTGCTGTCAGGACACGGCAGCCTCCTTCCTGGGGGGAGCTGGACGTGCGCAGAGAGCTGCCCTGGAAAGCCCCGTGCTGGGGCTTGTGAGTGAGGCTCTGCAACGCATTGGGCAGGGAGGGGACGGGGAATTCAGACTCCCGGCCGCGGTGCTGAGCCAGCAGCAGCCCCGTTCCTTCGCTCTCTGTGCCTCGGTTTCCTCCCCAGGAGCGTGAGCGATGCGTTGCTGCCTCGTGCGGGTGGAGTTAACGCTGCTTTGAGCCTCCTGCTGAAGAGCTCCGGCCTCCTCCTGCCACCCTGCTTTGTGCACGCTGACACCGGCTCTGTGCCCGCTTGCAGCCCGGCTGCCTTCCGCCTGCGCGGGGCTCCTGCTGCCCCCAAACGCCTTTTGTCACGCCAGCACCACCTGCGGCTGAGCCGTGTGCTTCCCTTCCAGGAGGAGGGCTGGCTCCTGCTGCCGACACGCGCGAGGGTAGCCAGGTGGCCAGTGACTCTGAGGGGGAAGTGTTCTGCGACACCCTGGAGCAGATGGAGCCCGAGCAGGTAACGTCTCCCGGGGCAGGACGGCCTCGAGGAGGGCTGGGGTCCCTCCACACCGTGGCAGAAACTTCCCCTGCCGGCAGCCCTGCTCCAAACAGCAGCTCTCACGTTTTGCTGTCACCTCCGCACTGCTTTCCTGGCAGCCCCACAACACCCCGAACATCTACAGGGGCCCCGGTGAAGCAGCCCTGCCGTGTCCCTGTGCGTTGGAGCCTGGTCCCATCACTGAGGGCAGGCTGAGGAGCCCTCAGGTGCCCCGGCAGCACCCGCAGCCTCCCTCACTGCTGCAGCACGGCCCCGGTGGCTGAGCAGGGCTGGCCCCTGAGCCTGTGCAGGCGCCCAGGTGGCCCCGCCAGCTCGCTCGTTGCTCCCTGCTCGTCCCTGTGCTCGCAGGCACCACGGTGCTGCCCGCAGCGCGAGGCGCTTCCAGTGCCACAGTGAGCGCCCCTGGGCAGGATGCACGAGGCCGCCCGCACGCCTGGGTCCTCCAGGAGCTCTGCCCCGGCCTCCCGTGTCCCCCGGGGAGGGAGGGGGGGTCTCAGGGCCGTTCTTCTCTACCCCCGCACAGGCTGGGCAGCCGCTGGGCAAGCAGGGGCTCTCCCTGAACAGCGCCCAGGCCGGGCCTGAGCCCCGAGCGCCCCGTGCCGCTGGGCGGGGAGAGCGGGGCGAAGGCAGAAGACGAGCGGGGAGGAGCGGCACTGGCCTCGCAGCCCCGGGCTCTGACAGAGGTGGGTGAGCGCTGGGCTCCTGGCGCCTTCCCGCTGCTCCCTCCTCACCCTGGGGTGCCCGTGCAGGGGCTGAGCAGAGAGGTGAGGGCTGTGACCACCAGCAGCCTGGCTCAGTAGCCACACGTCCCGTGCGTCCCCTCTCTTCATCCCTCGGTCCCCATGCAGCTCCGTGTTTCACCCCGCCGGGACAGATCCCCTTTGTTGTCCCCGGGCTGTGTGACAGCTGTGCCCGCTGCCCTGCGCTGCTGGGCCCGTGGCTTCTCTCCAGCAGCCCGGCTCAGAGCGCGGCTCCCCGGCAGCGTGAGCCCTGCAGCGAGCACCGCACGGCCCCACCGGCAGCGTCCCGGTGTGGTGGGACCTGGCTGGGAGCTCACCGCGGGGCTTGGGTGGGCCAAGCTGGGCTTGGTGCCCCTGGAGGCACTGGTCCAGGGGACAGCACCACTGCCCTGCTCCAGCCCTCCCTGCGGTGCCAGTCGCGTGCCACCAGCCTCCGGTGCTGCAGGTGTCAGCGCTGCTGCAGGGACGGAGCCAGGAGCCCTGCTGCTGCCCCGCGCTCTCCCCGTCCTGCCGGACACATCTGGGGGCTGTGCTTGGGGCTGGCTCTGCCACCCTCACCAGCAGGGCTCCGTCTGTGGAGGGGCAGGAGCACGACCCACCGCCGTGCTTATCTCCCCATTAATGTTTCCGTAAACCCTCCCGGGCTGCTTGACCTTGGGAGTTAACTTGTAACGAGGCCGATAAAGCCAGCCTGGGCTGTCCCCGGGGCACCAGAGCGAGCGGGCAGCACAGGGGCCAAGGAGCAGCCCGTGCCACGGCAGGCACTTGCCTGTCCCCCACTTGCAGTGAGGATGATTTGGGTGTCGCACAGGCTGTGGTGAGGCAGGTTTGGGGGCTCTGCTGAGCCTCGGGGCCGGCAGAGTGGCAGCCAGGCAGGCCAGGCACCCTCCTGGCCTTCACTGCCGCGCTTGGTGAACCGAGGTGACCCGCGTGTGCCCGTGCAGGTGCAGTGTCAGTGGGGCAGAGGTTGCCCAGCACAGCCACTGCTGCACTGGGGGACACGGTGCCAGTCCCTGGCCCCAGAGCTGCTGGGGGAGAGGGACGTGGGCTGCTGGGCCGGGCTGGGAGCTCCCAGCTCTGCGCGTGCCAAGGTTGGGCAGAGCCGTGTGGGCAGCCTGGGGCAGGACGCAGGCACCCTGCTGAGATCCAGCAGCAGTGCACGGCCTCGGGTCCTCGGGGAGCTCGGCCTGCCCGGGCGAGTGGCATCGCCCCTGCGCCACATGCGCCGTGCTAGCTCCCGTGCCGCCTCCTGTCTGAGCAGCGCCCGTCTTTGCACCCTGCAGATCCGCAGCTTGCTGGGGCAGCACAGGATGCCGAGAGCGCCCCTGAGCTTGCCCACGGGAGCCAGGGGCTGCTGCTGGAGGTGGACGCCCACGTGGCCGGCACCGTGCGGGCCCTGCAGGACGACATGCAGCGCGTGCTGCAGCGCCTGAGCGAGCTGGAGACGCTCACCTCTGTGCAGGTACGTGCCCGGCCACGCAGAGAGCTGGGGGTGCTGGCCTGTGGGGCTGTGCTGACCCCCAGGCGTCGCCGGTCCCTGTCCCTGCCCACACAGCCCGGGTTGGCCCAGGTGCTGAGAGACCTTGGGCTGCATGTCGTGGCCTGGCAGGGTGGAGGCTGCGGCTGCTGCTCTGAGCTGCCCCGAGGTGCGGGCAGGGAGCTGCCGTCCCCGCCATCCCCCCTGCCCCGGGTCCTGGCCCGGCTGCTCTGCAGAGCTCTGCCTGGGCCCGGTTGCTCCCAGCCCCTCTCTGTGGGGATGCGGTGGCTGAGCGGGGGTGCCTGGCCCTGGCCGCACCCTGACACCTCTCCTGTCTCGCAGGGGGACGCCTCTGGGGCTGAACCTGGCCGGCTGCTTGCACCGCAGGTGAGTTGGAGGCGGGCAGGGCGCTTCCTGCTGCTGGCCCCTCCGTGTCCCTGCCCCATGGGGCCTGGCTCCCCAGCCCCTACCCTGACACTGCTGGGGGTGGTGGGGGACAGACAGGGGGACAGTCCCTTGGCTGGGAAGCAGGAGCAGCCCTGGGGATGCGACCCCGGCGTCCGGGCAGCAGGGACGATGCGGTGGCAGCACGAGGAGACCTCGGCGGGATGATGGCCGCGAAAAGGACGGCCGGGCTGTGTCGGTGCCCCCACTGCCCTTTGGGATAGGGGCCGGGGGGGCTCGGTCTCAGCGCTAACACCGAGCCCTTGTGCCCCCCCTCCCCCCCGTCTGTCCCTCACCAGGCAGCGTTCCCGTGGCCGCTGGCGGTGTCCCCGCGCACGCTGCTGTTCCTCATCGCCTGGCCCTTCGTCACCCAGTGGCTGCTGCGCCGCTGGCAGGGCACCAAGAGGTGACCGCCGCGGGACGGCCCCGCTCCGCCTGCCCCCACCGCCACCGCCCTCCTGCCTGCTTCTCACGAGCCGGGAAAGCGCCGGGACCGCCGCACCCCCACCCCCCACCGCCGCCTTCCTGCCACCGGCGGTCCCCGGCCCCGAGGGAGCCGAGCTGCGAGCCCGGGACCCCCCGGGACCCCCCGGTACTCCCCCCTCGCAGCCGGCCCCGGGTCGGGGCGGGGCCGCCTCGCACCGCCGCTCCCAGCCGCTGGGCCCGGCCCCGCACGCACGGGGGCGCCCGAGCGCTGCCCGCACCCGCGGCGCCGCCATCACACAGCGGGGAGCGGGGCCGGAGCCCCCCGGGGGGGCCCGCGGGGAGCCGGGGGAGCTGCGGGGGCCGAGGCCCCATTAAAGCGTTGCCTTCTCAGCCCGGCGCCCGCTCCGTGCTCTGCGGGGACCCCGGGGGGGGGCACCCCGCGACCACCGGCCCCGGCCCCGCCAGCCCCGGGCTGTGCCCGTGCCCCCCGGTGGCGGGGACATCGCTGGGGGGGGGGGGGGGGGCATGGCCCGGCCCCGCGCCTTCAGGCCTGGGGGGGTCCTTGGGGGGGTCCCCGGGAGGTGCTGCCCCCCCCCCGTCCCCGTCCCTCCCTCTCTCGGCCCCGCCCCTCCGGTTGTGGCCGCGGCGCCTTTAAGCCGGGCCTCGTCCCCTCCCGGTTTGTTTACATCTCCCTCCGCGCTCTGACCGCATCACCCAGCGCGGCCCCGGGACTCCTCCGCCCGCACTCTCCCCCCTCCCCCCCCCCGTTTCTCTCCCCCCCGCCCTCCGGGTCCCGCTGCCGCCCCCCGACAGCCCCGGGGGGGCCAGGACCGGGCCGCGGGGCGGGGCCGCAGCACCGTCCGTGTGTCCCTCCGCGCCGCGGGGACTCTTTTCGGGCCGTGCCACCCGCCGGGCGCGGGGGGGGCGGGGCCGCTGCCCTCAGCGCCGCCCTGAAGGTCGCCCCCCCCCCCCCGCGTATGGTACGGCCCGGACCCGCCTCCTGCCCTCCCCGATTGGTGGAGCGGCTCGCGAGTGACGTTCCGCCCCGCCAATCGTCGCCCGCTCGTCCGTGCGGCCAGGGGGCGGGGCTCCGCGCGAGGTCCCGCCCCCCTCGCCCGCTGATTGGTCGCGGGGCGGGGCCTGAGGCTCGCGGGGAGCCGCGGTGGCAGCGGCGGGCGCGCGGAGGGGGCGGGGCGAGCAGCGCGCATGCGCGGGGCGGGGCGGGGCGCTCGCGGCTATATAAGGCGGGGAAACGGGCGGGGAGCGGCAGTCGGGAGCTGGCGGCGGCGGCGGCGGGTGGCGGTGCGGGGAGGGGCGGGGCGCGGAGGGGGGAGGAGGCGGCGGCGGCGCGTGCCATGCGCGCGGGGGGGCGGGCCCAGCGGCGTTAACCCCTCGGCGACCGGAGGCGGCGACCCCCGGGCTCCGGCCCCGTGCCATGGCCCCGACGGCCTGAGGGGGCCCCCATGCGGCGCGGGTAGCGGCCGCCGGCCGGGAGCGCAGCCCGGAGCCATGGCAGACGCAACGGCCGCCGAGCCGCAGCCCCCGTCCGCCGCGGAGCCGCAGCCCGAGCGGGGCGAGCAGCAGCAGCAGCAGCCGGAGGCGGCGGCGGACGGCGAGGCCGGGAGGCTGCCGGCCCCCGGGGCGGCGGCGACGGCGGCGGAGGAGGAGGAGGAGGCGGCGACGGCGGCGGAGGGCGCGGGCGGCGCCGAGGGGCGGCCGGCGGAGGGCGGCGCGGCGCGGCCCGGCCTGGGGCCGCGGTACCGGGCGGCCGTGGGGCGCGCCGAGGAGTGGCCGGCCAAGAAGAAGCACCGGCGGCGGCCGTCGAAGAAGAAGCGGCGCTGGAAGCCCTACTCGAAGCTGAGCTGGGAGGAGAAGCAGCAGTTCGACGAGCGGCAGAGCCTGCGCGCCTCGCGGCTCCGCGCCGAGATGTTCGCCAAGGGGCAGCCGGTGGCCCCCTACAACACCACGCAGTTCCTGATGGAGGACCACGACCAGGAGGAGCCCGACCTCAAGACCGGGCTGTACCCGCGGCGGGCGGCCGCCAAGTCGGACGACACGAGCGAGGAGGACTTCCTGGAGGAGGCGGCCGAGGAGGACGGCGGCAGCGACGGCATGGGGGGCGACGGCAGCGAGTTTCTGCAGAGGGACTTCTCGGAGACCTACGAGCGGTACCATGTGGAGAGCCTGCAGAACATGAGCAAGCAGGAGCTGGTCAAGGAGTACCTGGAGCTGGAGAAGTGCCTCTCCCGCATGGAGGACGAGAACAACCGGCTGAGGATGGAGAGCAAAAAGTACGGGGGGGAGGCGGCGGAGGCGGCCCGGGTGCGGCAGCTGGAGCAGGAGGTGGACAGGTTGCGAGCCGAGAACCTGCAGCTGCTGAAGGAGAAGGACCTGCACAGACAGGAGAAAGCCCCCAGCAAGCTGGGGGAGTGACACTGGGGGGGGGACAGGGGGGCTTTTTACAGTGGTGGGATGTAACATTATATACATGTGTACAGAGATGCCGGCGGACCCTTTTTACGACGCGTAATCGGAATAAACCACAGCCTTGTATCGGTTTGACGCTCTCGCTGTAGTGTAGTGTGTGTGCTGCTCGGCCTGTGTGCAGCTGAGGCTTCCCCCTTTTTTAGGTGGCTGTGACGGGGCTAGGGGAGGGGTTGATGTATAAGTGAACTTGATTTATGATGCTTTTTTTTTTTGTGTGTGTGTGTGTTTAAACCAAAAATGATCCCCAAGAAACTTGTAAATTGGCCAAAACTGACTATAAAAATTATAGAGGTCTAATAAATTTAATTACTTGTAACTGTAACAGTTTCGGTGTGATTTCTAGAAAATATTCAAAATGTCATTCTCCCATGCGGGAATACATTTTGAATCATTTTCATGATATTACAACTGGTCTATGAAGTTTTTCGATTAAAACTAGCCGGAATTTCTCACTTAGCTGTTTTGCATAGTTGGTTCCACCCCCTTGCCCCCCCCCCCTCCCTCCCTTATTTTTCACTTTTAATCCCATGAAATGATTTTATGCTCTGGCACTCTTAAAATACCTGGAAGAGGGATAACATCCTGTGCTCTTAATATAATTTGTATAATGGTCACTACTTATACCTTTCTAATGTATTAATAAGCTAAAATATATTTGCTCAGTTAAACTTAATTTTCCTGCTTCCTTCTAGTTCTGTAAGAACCTGGGCCAGTTAGCTGAAATCACAGCAAAAATGCCTGGAAATGGTCTTAATGCTACAAAGGAGGCTTAAAGTTTTTGCAGTGGCCCCGTGAAAAGTTCTGGTCGTCAGCACTTTGCCTCAGAAATGGCTGACAAATGAGGCGGCTTGGTGGAAGTTGCACGTGATGGCCAAACCTTTTCGTTTCTTGCCGCTGTACCTGAAATGGAAGGCGAGCAGGCAGGTGAAGTGCCAAGCAGCTGAGTGGTTGATGGGTTGGGATTTGTTGTTTTTTTTTTTGTGGGGAAAACCCAGGTAAGTTAAAGGGCAGAGCAGTGGAGGGGCTGAGCCTGCTCTGGTTCGTGCTGTTGTGTAATCGAAGGGCAGCAGGCTCAAGTTTGGGATCGTGTGTTACAGAATGCAACTTGTACCTCCGGAACGGGGAATCGGGCTGCTTAACTACCTGTCATTCTGTGCGGGGAAACATCCTCTTATAAAATAACAGAGGGTTTAAACTAGAGGTGAGGGGGAAGACGAGGTTCCCCCAGCAAGGGTCTCCTCTGCTCAGAGCAGTTGTTACAGAATTGGGGGATGTGAAGCAGCACAGCAATGCTGTCACTGAGGGAATCAGATTTAAGGACTGAGGGAAGTTTTTAACATGAGCTTGGAAAAAAAAAAAAAAAAAAAAAAAAACCTGCTCTGGGGTTTACACTGGCATCAATTCTTAGTTTGGGAAAGGAAAAAAGGAAAACTATCGGAGGTTTACTTGCTCAGGAGCCTCGCAGTCGCCTTTTTTCCCTTCCCTCTGCTATGACATCATTGGGCAGAGCCAGTGCCGGTGCAGCAGCGCTGGCTGCGGGAGGGAGCCGGGCGCTCGCGAGGCTCCGCTGCTGCTCCCGGAGTCAGACCAGGGTGAGGTGCTGTGAGAGGCAACGAGTTAATTAGGATCCTGCTCGTTAGGAAGAGATCCATCACTCGGGAAGAGAAACAGCAGCTGCTGAGCCCCCTTCCTTCACCCCGGGCTCTTCTCTCCAGCACCTGGAGTTGTCCAGATCAGATTTTATCCTCTCTAATTGTGCTGCGAGGGGCAGTCCCGTGTTCTTCTGGGGCAGGGCAGTGCCTGACAGCACCGAGTCCGGCAGGAGGCATCGCGCTTGGAGGCAGCACCAACCTGCCCAGCACGGCGCTGAGCACCTGGTTAAGGTGAAAAACTTAGCACAAGGAAACGGCGTTAGTCAAATGTAGCAGCAACAGTTACAAGGTGACATCTGCAATGAAGTTCAGGAACCCTCTGCCCTCCATCCACTTACCCCCAACTTTTGTTACGTTTCGTGCAGAGGAACAAGTTTTTCTCCAACCTGCAAATACTTTACCTGATGGGACTTAGGAAAGTGAGGGGAGCCCCCGCACCCGCAGCACCACTGCTCCCACCGCAGGGATCGACTCTGATTCTACAGCCCTGCTGTGCTCTGGTTTAACGATGTCTTAATGTGTATCAGACAGATCCCCATTTCAGAAGGCGTTTTGGAGCAGCGTGCCTCCTTACAGGGGCTTGCACCAGCTCCTGCATTTGTCCCTCGCAGCAGACACAGAATTACTGCACCTGGGGGCCTCTGAAGCCTCCCTGCGGACTGGTGAGGGACGGGAGCTCGTCCCACTGCCACCAGCTGCCCTGGCCCAGGGGAGAGCTCGGAGCTGGTGCAGAGGTGACAAGATTGTTTGAGAGGAACAAATAAAATCTTAGAGCTCGGCAGAGCTAATCGTGCTGCAGCACTGGCAGTGATGTGGTATCAAAGGGCAGCAATTAGTCCCTCCTGACAATAAGGCAGCACTGTCTGAACCAGTCGAGGGCAAGCACCTCCCTGGAGGGCGAAGCAGCCGCGTTTGCCAAAGCTTTGAAGTACATCCCTCCTCGCTACCACCGCTCGGTCCTTCCTGGGCTGTTGGAGCCAGCTGGCCTTTATTCCGGCTCCTTGGGTGAGCTGAGCTCAAGTGTGCTGCTCGAGCAGTGAGCTGTGCTGCCCAGGAATGTTGCTGCCTCTGCAGCTTCACTGACACCGCTCCTAATGGGCTGCACGTCGGCGCGGAGCCGGTGGCGGCAGGAACCTGCCATGCTGGGGCTCCTGCCCGTCACGGCTCTGGGGCTCGCTGCTGCCCCGCCTGCTGCTGCTGTGCCAGCTGCGGGGCGGCTCGTCAGCGCTGCAGCAACCTCGGAATCGCGGCCGTGCAGGGACCTCTTGGCTAAAGGTCTTTCACCGTTCCTCCCTCGCGAGGGTTTTCCAGCTGGCTGAGGAAAGGGCTGTGGTTCTCCCCACCCCAGCTGGAAGAGGCAGAAGTTATTGCGCTAAGGCACAACCGCAAAAGGGGACCGAAATATCCCACCTTCAGTCGCAGCCGCTCTTCAGTGCAACAGCACGCCAGTTCCCTGAAAACGCTGCAAGAAGACAAAAAAGGAAGCAGTCCGACCCAACAGCGTGCTCACCCTGTAACAGCCAACGTTCCTGCAAAGCGAAACCCAGATCCTGCCCGGTAACAGCAGCAGAAGAGGAGGTGCTGAGCAACCTGCCTCCAGCACCGGCCCGCAGCGAAGGGAGGGACAATTCGCCACCACCGTTCCCCTGCTGCCCAAAGGCCGATCCTCGCCTTTTTCATTCCGGCTTGACTTTGGGATCACCTGTAGTGCTGCAACTTGCCTTACGCTGCCCATTAAGCCCTGCTGCTTGGCGTCTCACAGTTTACCCCACACGGGTACAGTGCCGGCAACACAGCGTTACCCTGCCCGAGACTTCCCTTGCACCAGTTTCATTGAATTTCTGTAGCTTTCAGCTACGGCAGCATACTTACACAGCGGTTCTGGATATCCTGATGATCGTGTTGTAGTGCAATATAAGCAGTATTTCTTTTTAAAGGAGAAGCTGTGTAACAGGGAGTTAACCCAGTACAAGGAAGAGTTTTTACAGCGCTCACTGCTGAGGCCAGTGCCCAACAGCCTTCCAAAAAGCTGGCAGCTTTTGGTCCATCTGCAACATACCAAAGCCTGGCTGTTAGGATCAGGCCCTCTGTGGTTTCTCTCATTTCTGCTCCCACCCTTCCCCCCAAAAAAAACCTTCTAACAACCCGGAGAGGTGCAAGGCACACGGCTTAAACTAAATATAGCTCTGGTTCGTTTGGCAAAATCAACTTAAAATTAGACCTTTGGCTATTGTGTGCGTGCTAAGACACACACGACAACAAACCTCCCAGCTTAGAAGTGCTGCAATGTGTAAAACACAAAGCTTCAGAGTTCAGGAACTAGTAAAGCAACATGGAAGCCAGCCTGAAAATTTGCCAGCAGTTATTTCAACAAAACAGCTTCAAAAAAAAAAAAAAAAAAAAAAAAAAAAAAAAAAGATCTCAAAAGATCTCTAAGCACATAAACATAATCTGGTTTACGACTGGAAGATTCCACACATGACACAATCTGCACTTAAAACAGAAGCCTCCAAAACCTCACTGTTTTACCTCTGAACCAAGCCCCGTTAATACGAGGGGATAAGCTGGCATTACCTCCAACATGCAGAGGGAAGAAAAAATGGAAAAAACGTGGCCGAGGAACTTGCTTAAAGACCCTGTGCCCGCTGTGCCCATACCACAGCCGGGGCCTCAGCCCAGGCCCCCACCGGGCGCAGGCTCAGGCGGGTGCAGCAGCCCCGGCACCCCCAGCACTCAGGGGCTGCCAGCAGCCTCCCCGCTCCCCGGGAAGCCAAACTCCAGCGGCTCCTCTTGCCTCAAACCTCCCCAGCACGGCTTCCGCGCAGCCACGCTTTATTACTATTATTTTTTTCTCTCCTTGCTCAGGAACACCCAGTTATTTCCACAGCTCTCGTCTCCCCCAGCCAGCGGAGCGGCGTTCAGCACCGGGCGATGTTCGCTGCAGTTTATTATCGGCTTCAGGACTTCCCCAGGCGGCCCAGCACCGGGGAGCACGTTTTATTTAGTCTCTGGAGGCGACGCGGTGGCACCGCTGCGGGGAGCCCACGGCAGCTGCGATCTCCCCGGCCAGGCACAAACCCCCCGGGGCCGCCGGGCCGGGCCGTGAGGCAGCGAGCACCGGGCCCTGGGGGTGGCGGCGCGGGGCAGCCCCTGCGGACAACCGGCAGCCTCCGCCCCCCCCCGGGAGCCGCGTCCCGGCACCAAATCTCCCCCGAAGCCGCCCCCACGGGCACCCCCCGGGCAGCGGCCCCAAGCGGGGCCTGCCCCGAGCCCCCCCCCCCACGGCAGCGCGGGGCCGGGCCGGGCCCAGCACCGCCCCGGGCTGAGGCCGAGGCCGCGGCGCAGCCTCCCCGCGGCTCCCCGCCCGGCCCCGCCGCGGCGGAGCCCCCGGCCCCAGCCCGCCCCCGGCCCCGGCCCCGGCCCGCCCTCACCGGCCCCGCCGCGGCGGGCACCGAGGACCCGGCGCCGGCCTCCGCGCACACAAAATGGCGGCCGCGCTCCCCCCCCCACCGCCCGCCCGGCCGCCATAGGCAGCGCCTCAGCCCCGTCGCGCTGCCGCCAATCGGAGGGCGCCGTGCGGCCGCTCGGCGTCGCGGCGGAGCCAATGGGAGCGAGGGGCGGAGAGGAAGGGGCGGGGGCTGCGCTGCTCCCCCCAGGGGGTTGTGGGAGTTGTAGTCCGCCGCCGCGGCGCGGGGATGGAGGCGAGGCGGTTGCGGACTCGCTGTCCCGTGATGCTGAGCGGCCCCTCCCGGGGGGCCCCGCACCTGGGCGAGGCGCGTTGCCATGGCAACTGGCACGGGGCCTGCGGCCTACCGGGGCCTGGTGCGGCCTGCTAGGGCCGGCCCGGGGGGCGCCGGGGCCGGGGCCGGGGGCTGGGCCCTGCCCCCCCCGCGCTATGAGCCGGCCGGGCGCTGCCGGGTCCGTCCCCGCGAACGCCGCTCTCGTGCCCGGTGACCGCTCACGGGCACCCCGCGCCCCTCTGGGGAGCTCCCGGGAGCCGCCGGTTTGTGCGATCCCAGTCATTAACGGAGTTCTCAATTAACCAATTAACCCCGGCTCTGCCTCCTCCTCCCGGCTCCATCTCGGGTGTCCAGGAACGGAGCGGCCCGAGGGGCGCGGCCGGGAGCTCCCCGCGCAGGGCCTGGCCCCGAGCCCCGGGGTGGTGCCAGGGGGGGCTCGGCCCGGCGGGCGCTCAGGGAACGGCCTCGGGTGGGGGGCCGGGCACACGGCACAGGGGGTGGCAAAAACCGTGCGGGTCTTGGGCCTTACGGGAGGCACCGAGCGGGCCGAGCACAGGCTGTGTCCCCGTGCCAGGGAGGAACGAGGGGAGTGGTGCTGGGAGTTGAAACCTTTTCAGTCAAATTTTGCTGCTACAAAAGGGTAAAGAGATCTTCTCTGGGTTGGTAACCCACCAGATCACAGGCTCTCCCTGAGATTTAATTTTGACAGTTTGATTCTTCCTCAGAAGTAATCTGCCAGCGTATCAAAACACACAAAACCATTTGGCAGGGCGGTGAGTGGCTCTGGACAAAGCGCCGCACAAATTCCCTTCCTCGGCAGCCTCCACAAACCCCATCTCTGCTTCCATTCCTGGCGTTCAGGGAAGGATTCGGAGCAGGGTTCCTGGCGAGCTGGTTCCTGGTGAATTAAAATCTCCGAGCAGCGCGGCAGCATTGCCCTCAGCTCTCGGTGGCACCTCTGCGAGGCTGTGCGGGTGAAGGTGTGCGGGAACGGGACAGGAGCGCTGCCTGCCTGACGGTTGCCCCCACAGCAGCCCCTCGCTGTCAGGGCAGGTGGTGACAAGCTCTGTGGTTAAAGGACTCCTGGCGTTGCCACCTCTTTGTTTGTGCTGTTGCTGAGTTAACCGTGCTGATCTCTCCTGCTGGAGGGCTGCTGTTGGAAACGGCCTGCTCCCGAAGGTAAAAGGGGAAGGGTGGCAGTGAAATGGGCCGGGGCTGCTTCCAGCCTCAGGATTTCAGCGGCAGGAGGGGACAGATGCCCCCTCTCGCTGCGTCTGTCCCAGTGTGACCCTGCTGCAGGTACAAGGAAAAAGTAGGGAGCAGAAACCCTTTTGCAGAACCCCGCTGTGGCTGTGCCTGAGGCTGGCAGCGTCGCTGCCACGTCCACACCCCACGCGGGCACAGTGCCAGCTCCCCTCAGCCAGCTCGCTGCCCGTGTCCCCAGCAGCACCCACCGGGGAGGCAGCGTTGCAGGGCTCCGTGGCTGGGTGGTGGCGATGGCCAGCGCTGTGCTGGGGCAGGAGGAGCCCTGGGAGCCCGGCACCGAGCTCAGCCCCACAGCCCCGGCTGAGGCACAGTCGAGGTTTTGTCCCTGGCCCCAGCAGCAGCGTTAGCACAGGGGTCGCTGGCATCTCCTCAGGGGGCAGAGCCACCATCCCTGGGATGGGGTCATTGCTCCTCACCTCTCCTCAGCACACCCCGAGCTCACGGGGGGTGTTTCAGTGCGCTCCCACGTGCCGGTCCGTCCCTGCAAGCCCAAGGACCCCCTTCTTTAGGACTTTATGCTTTTTTCCTGTGTTGGGGACACGGTTTTGGTAGCTGTGGCGACACTCACACGCCCCATTGGCCGGGCTGACCCTGGCTCTGAGGTTGCCATTGCCACGCGCGGTTATTTTTGTCCCTCGCCATCACCATGAGGAGCTAAAAAGTCCCTCAGATAAATGGGGGGGGGGCTCTCCCAGCAGCCGCACCTGGGTTCGTTAGCCAGCAGCCTCGTTACTGGCTGCAGTGCTCGTTACTGCCTGCAAAGCTGCTGCTGCCGAGCTGTGTGTGTGCTGCCCTCCCGGGGCTCTCCCCCTGCTTTGGGACCGGGAGCTTCCACACACGCAGTCCTCGCTCCCACAGGCGGTGAGCCAGAGCCAGAGCTCTGCGCATTGCCCCGAGCGTGTCCTGTGCCCAGCAGGGGCGGGGGAACCACAATTCGGGGCCACACCACACCAGAATTTGTTATTTTGGGGCGTTCTGTGCGGAGCCAGGCGTTGGACTGGATGCTCCTCATGGGGATGATCCCTGGGGGTTGCCGCGAGGACTCGTGCCCTGCGCACCCCAAGCCCCAGCCCATGACCCCGCATCGTGCCGTGCGTTCTGCTCCGCTTCATGGCAAGGCTGCTGCGGGTCAGGCACCACCAGCGAGGCAACAGTGGCTGCACAGCGCCCAGTTATAAGAGCTCCCAGTTAACAGAGCCCAGCTCCCAGTTAACAGAGCCCAGCTCCCAGTTAACAGCTCCCAACCCCCAGTTCCTAACTCCAATTTCCCAGTAACCAGCCCCCACCTCCCAGTACCCAGTTCCCAGCCCCTGCCTCCCAGTACCCATCTCCCAGTTCCCAGTTAACACCTCCCAGCTCAGCTCCCAGCCCCTACCTCCCAGCTCCCAGTATCCAGTTCCCAATTAACAGCTCCCAATTCCCAGCCCCCACCTCCCAGTTCCCCCCCCCGCGCCCTCCTCGTGTGGCCCCGCCCCCAGGTCCCGACCCCGCCCCCCCACGCTCCAGGCCCCGCCCCCCCGGCCCCGGCCAGAGCCCCCGGGGGACCTGGCCCGGCCCCCCCCGCACACCCCCACCCCTGGGTGCCCCCGGCCCCGTGTCCCCCCCGGCTGTGTCTCAGGGTCTCCCAGGTCCTTGGTGTCCCCCCATGCTCCCACAGCCCCCACATCTGCTGTGTCCCCTCACATGTCCCCCGTGTCCCCCACGTTTCCTGTGTCCCCCATGCCCCCCCAACCCCTGTCCTCCCCACCCCATGTCCCCCAAGTCCCCCGTGTCCCCCACGTCCCCTGTGTCCCCCCACACGTCCCCACATCCCCCCACATTTCCACCATGTCCCCCGTGTCCCCCACATGTCCCCCACATGTCCCCCACGTCCCCTCTGTCCCCCACACGCCCTCCAAGGCCCATGTCCTCTTGTGGCCCTCACGTGTCCCCACCCTGTGTCCGGTGTCCCCAACATCTCCTCTGTCCCCTCCACCTTCCCCTTGTGCCCCCCGCGTGGCACTGTCCCCCCCGTGCTGCCCACAGCCCCCAGGGGCTGCAGTCGGGTGGCCATGGGGGAGTGGCAGCAGTGGGGGCACGATGACAGATGGTGGCTGCACCCCGACACCGCGGGGTGTCCCCATGGGACCCAGGCTGATGGCTGTGGCCGTGGGCACTGTGGGGTGAGTGGGCAGAGCCCCGCAGAGGAGTTTTTGTAGGGCCTACAGCAAACCAGGCAGCTTGTCATTGTCTGCCTCGCGTCCCACACAAAATGGGCCACCTGGAGCGGGCTGGAAACCACCCTGGGGACACGGGGACACACAGGGACAGGGCACGGCGGCCTTCCCACCGGGAGCAGGCCCGGAGCCCCCACCCCAGGAACTTTCCCCACGGGCCCAAGCCCCCAAATCCTGCACCCGGGGCCTTCCTGCGGTGTTTTGCTCAGGACGAGGCCGCGGCGCCTGCTGGCAGCTGGAGACACATCGATCCCCGATCCCCCACGTAGGAATTAATGGTTGCCGGGGCGCGGGCGATAACGATCTCATTACTTCTCTATAACGCGCAAGCAGAGGCCGGCCCCGGCCGGTAACGCGCTGCCTGACATTTCAGACGGGCTTCCCCAGACCTGAAAGCAATTAGGCACAAAAGGAAGGAAAAATGTAAGCAAGGGGATGCGAACTGCCCTCGGCAGCTGTTCGGAGGGAATGATCAGACACCGAAGCCCCTCCACGACCGGGGTTTGCCCGGGAAGCCAACGGCAGCCGGGCACATCGCGGGGAGGAGGAGAAGGAGCCAAGCCCCTGCTCGTCGGTGGATGTCGGCCAACGGAGCTCTGCGGGGAGAAGGCTCCGTGCTCGCTGCCACAGCTCCCGGCTCGGGTCTGCCCAGCGCACCGAGAACCGGCACACGTGCCCCAAAAGCGTTGCCTTTGGGGTTTTTTGGTGTTAATGTAAAGGGGGGGTGCGGGGGCAGATCCAGCTGTGGGGCTCCAGAGGGGCTGAGCAACGCCACCGAGGCGGTTGGGCCTTTTTCTGAGCGTTTTTGTTTTATAATTTCTGCTGCTCGTGGCCAGGACGAGCGTCGGGACAACACTGACATCAAGTGGCTGCTGGGATCCCTCACACGCGGGGGCCGGATCCTGCTCCCCGGGAGCTGCATCGCCCACACAGCCCCCATCCTGCCCTGCCGATGCACCCCACAACCTCAGCCTGCCGTTTCGTCCCTTTCTGCCCCATTTTGCCCTGTGCTGAGATGCAAGCAGCCGGCTGACTGCTGTGTCAGGCAGGAAAACACGGCCTGGACCCCAAAACCCTCCTGAGCAGGGCCCGACCGAGGATGCTGCAGGAATTGGGGTGCTTCTGGACACGAGTGGGGCCTCCACCGCCTCTCCCCAGCCCGCAGGGTGAGGCTGGCGGTCCCGGCCTCTCCTCCGCTGCCCTCCCCTGTGTGTCCTCCACGTCCCCGGCGTGCCCTGCCGCATCCCGGCGGGGTCAATATCCCAGCAGGGCCCGGCCGAGCCGCGCGCTGCCCACGTCACCGAGCCGGCAGCAGCCGCGCGGCCGTGGCCCACGGGGCCGGGGGCCAGCAGGG